AGTGACTAGCATAAACCTACATGCTAGGCTACAATGAGAAGGAAGGAAAACTGCGTTTTTTTTTATCGAACTTTTATCGACTCTCTTGTTTTCTATTGCACCACACGTCTATCGATCCATATATATCGTTATTGAATTATCGCCCAGCCCTAGAAATATAGTCAACATACCAAACATTTCTTTTGGATTATTTTCATGGTTTTGGAAACAGATAAATGGAAACTCCAGAAGACGCTGGTTTTATTTACCAACATGATTTTTTGACCATTAATGACGGTGCTAATACTGTCATTTATTAGCAATAAGATTGACCAGAGTCCAACACAGAGTCAGAGATACCAGAGGCAACCGCAAAACGTATTAGTTTTAAGTCTAAATAATGATCCATTGATCATTCCTTACTGACCAAACGTTTTATTTAAAGCCAGGCTTAAACCAGAGCCTCAAACATCCCAGTTCAAGCAGCAGAACCAGGTCATAGCTTACCGCTTTATAAGCGTAGTATTTCTCGTCATAGTCGTGGGCTCCCATGGTGATCTCAGGCAAGAACCGGGGTATGTGGGTCAGCATTGACACCCTTTGTTTGTCCTCCACCCTGAAAGACAGACGGACATGAAGGTGCTGGAACCCAAACGCTGCGTGCGTTTCATCAGAGAGCCGAAGCTGAGGAACTCACAGCATCCTCATGTGATGGTAGCTGACGTCATCCTGCTCCAGCCACGGCCCCTTTTCAAACTGCAGGTACTCGATGTCCTCGGCCACCTGGGGACAACATGAAGGTCAACATGTCTTTTAAAAGAAAGTTACATCCTGGCAGCATTCCCTCAGCGACTGTCCGCCACTTTCTCACCCTCTCCATGTCTTGGGCCTGAGTCGCGTCGTAAGCCAGCAGCTCTGAGGTTTCTCTGGAGGTGACACGGTTTAAGGTTTGTTATAAAAAAAAAAGGCACGTCTCTGGGTGAGACATGGCTCTGCGTTCACATACCTGATCATAGGGAGGAAAGACTTTTTGTAGGAGTCCTCTATGCTCTTCAGATACTGCAGTGGCACATTCTGCAGGTAGGACTGAAATAATGCATAAAGAGTTGTTCAAAACAAGTCCATCTTTCCTGAACCACGCTAATCAAAACATTTTAACCGAAAGCATCATCATTTCTAAAGAAAAAAATAAAAAAAAAACGTTTATTTTAGCGGGATTTGTGACTTTACACAGAGTCACTTGGTGTTCTGTCATTTCAAGTTTAAGACCATCCCTTAATCCCAGTGGGTAAACTCTGAAGGACCTTCTCCCCTCCCCATGTGTAGCTGTGCCGACATTAGAATAATCCTGCCTCAGAGTGATTCATCATTCTGACTCCATCTCCAAAGAGCCTCCAGCTGGTCCAAAAAGCTCCGACTAAAGCCGTGACGTGAATAAGAATAAGATCTTCTCCCCGGGCTCTCAGTAAAACCCAGTGGACTGGGTACCAACCGAACTGTTACTGACCAATCCTGACGAAAGGAGAAGGAAACGCCTGCCCTTACCTGGCCCTTCTATTACCTAGCTCTCCATTTCTAATGACTAGTTGCTGAACTATGAGAATAAACTAAACATGCATTTTTACCTCCATAGTTCTGCTGTTAGAACTTTAAACAACCTCTAATCCTGCATTCCCTCCAGAACCAACCGTTCTCAGGCTGGTTCTGCTGCAGCCCTGTCAGAGTTCTTCACCCTGTGCTTACACATACTTTTTTATAATTATGCCATTTCATTTTATTTTTAAAAATATAAGAATCTGCCCAGAAAACCTTCTGAAATTTATTAGAATTTGCTTATGAATTAATTTACATATTTCTAAATATTACCCTTAGCTACAAACCTTTTTACTCATCTCTCTCTTAAGTACAGTTGCAGGATATTTAATCCTCCATGGATTAAACTTTAAATCAGTTAGGCATCATGAACAAATATACCTTTTTATTACCAGCACAAAAACATTAAAGGGAAACCAGACAGAACCGTAACAGTTATCCTCTAAGCGTTCTGAACCTGGGCTGGTTGCTTTGATAAGTCACTGCATCCCAGCTGTGATCTAACCTCCTGCAGCGGCTGTCATCATACAACCGTACAGAAGGCAGTTACACCACACTAGGTTTACATAAACAGCCAAGAGAATATTGGTGGATTGTTTTTTTTTTTATTTAAAGGAAAAGTGCGGTCATATTCAGAATTCAAACTTCTGAAATTATTACATACTGCTCAATAAATTATAAGTGTTTTAAGAGTAATGTTCATTTGAATGTGCTTTACTGGAGGCATCCATGTTTGTCAAAGAACACTACTGCCACCTCCTGGTTTGTGACGTCACGGTGCGGTATCGGCTGTTGATCAAGTCTCAGTGCTGTATCTGGTGTTTGTCACAACGCACTATTATCCAAGTCATCTTGAAAACATTCTTCTTCCAAATGTTGGCTACATATTACGTGTTTTTTTTCTGGACAGAAATTCGATGGCAAATCCTCCCTCTTTAAATTGGCAATCTAACAACGAACCCATCCGTGGAGGATCAGGAATCGGAAAGGTGATTTTACCCAATGTATTCCAACATCCAACTGTCATGCAGCTGGGCATTGTCAGTTTAACTGTAGCTCTGGTGAATTTTAATAGTGAAGTCCCCTGGAAATCCTGACAATACCTCCCGTGTGATCGTGTCTGCAAGGCCCAATCAGGAGGAGGCTTACAGAAGAGGTTTGTCTCCACCCAACCTGTCAAAACACATTTTCCTTCGAGCGGGGAGAAAATCAGTCAGAGCTCTTTCAAGAGCTCAGCCATCCTCAAGAGTGACCACTGGATAAAAATCGTGCTTGCGGTGAGTTTCCCAGCATGATCCCAAGCACGCGTAGGAGGAGCTGGCCGCGCGGAGAGCAGTTTTCTCCACTCGTGCATTTGGGATTTTGTTGTGCGGTGGTAGATAAACCATACGCAGAAGTAGTTGATGATACATGCTAGTATGTTGCGGGCATTTTGAAATAATTGTAGTGATGCAATAATTCCTTGCTGACCAGACTTCTCCTTTAAAAGGGAGAGTAAGAGTGTTCTAATGAATATTACTCAACTAAATGTTTTTTAATGGACTGTATCCTAACAGTTCTATAAATAATATCTACATTAGTTTTTAATTTTCTGTTCTGATACATGCAATTCGATGCTTACATTCACCTTCACTAGAAACAGCAGCGGGAAACCCCTGACATACGGGGATTAGTGCTACCCGCCCTATTTAGTGTAAACACATGGTAAGCCCCCCCCCAGCCTCAGCCTTCCTAATGCTGGCTAGCAGCCGTACCTTTCCACTCTGTTTGAGCTTCTTCTGAACTTCCTCTGCTGGTTGGTCGACGTATATTACGAGGTGAGGAGGGAGGAACTCGCAGATGCTGATGTTTTTGATTTCATTGTAGTGCTCCACACCTGCAGACGTGACGGCAACACAATTTTGTTTAATAAAACTTGGCTAAAATAGGAGATTTCACAGCAAGGCGGTTCATTTGTTTCCAGCTACTTACATTCCTTCCTGATGTAGCCCTGTTTGAACATGGCATCCAGGAAGACCATGTCACTGAAAGGAGAGCGCTCCAGGACCACTCCTTGGCCTTACAAACAGAAGATCCAGATGGAAATCAGTGCTTCATTCCCCTCACCGCCCGTTAGAGAAATGTGGGTGTATGGGTGGTACCTGTGGTGAGCAGATGCTCGATGGCGTCAGAGTACTGCAGCAGCCTCATGATGTACATCCACAGCTGCAGCCTGTAGCTGTTCCCATCAGCAGCTTTAGGGTCTGTGTAGAACTTTTCCAGGCTGCACATGCCGTTAAAGTCCAGAGGGAGGTGCTCCGTCTCCCCGGTCATCTTATCCAGGTAGAAGGTGTCAGCCTCAGGCATGTAGAGCAACCCTGTGGAAACGGGTTTAATTATAATCAGCTTCTCATCCTGCTGAGAAAGCTTCACATCATTCTGTTGTTGTTCTTATTACCCAGTTTGTCAGCCAGCTTCTGAGCCAGCGCCCCTTTCCCTGAGGCCAGGTTTCCGTCCACAGTGATGATTTTGCTGTACTGCTTTAACCGTGGAGTCGTCCTCTCACCCAGAGCGTAGGCCCACCAGCCATACCGCAGGTTTCTCACCAAGCTGGTATGGATCCCCGCCTGCATCACACAGACTCAGAGTTTAGTTCTAGTTCTTATCGTTTGACACAGATTTACTGCTCCGTCAATCTAGGTCAGTGTTTACAGCAACATGCTACAGATCTTCTATAAATCGACTGTGGAGAGGGTGATGTCTTCTGCCATCATGTGCTGGGGAAACACCGTCAGAGCAATGACTTAAAGAAGCCCAACCAACATGCTAGTGAAGACTCTCAGTCATCCAGGTCATTGTCGTTCAACAAAAGTTAGAAAAAAAAATCCCTAGACATTGTTTCCAGGTTTGGAGACATTTCGCTTCCAATTCAGGAAGCTTTTACAATTCAAAATGTCAGAAATAGCGGCTTTGTAACCAAACCAACTGATAAAGAAAACCAGCTCTGGTCTTTGAACTACTCTAAAACCTCTGGAGATGATTTCACAAATAATGCATCAAAATGAAGAACACCTAGGAACACCATCTGCATCCTCTTCAGCAGACTAAGAAAATCTGATAATCTACCAGTGGAACAGATAAAAATAATACAATTTTATATCATGCAGTAAAATAAGACTACCGTATGTAGAAGTCTTTTTCTCATTTTAAATTCAATTCATCTTATTCTATTAGCAAACGATCAGACCTACCAAATTAAATCAAGGGGAAATTAACTATCAAGAAAATGTATTACATACTTACATTTTTTTTTTATTCCAGTAAAGTCTGCTGATAAGAAATACAAAGAACTGTTTTTCTGTAAACTTTGATCAGATATTATGTTGAAGGAAACTCTGCTGGTGTATAGGTTTTATTGGTATATCTTCACTGATAGTAACTGTTTTCCAATTTAATGCTTCCCTGATATTGTGCAGAAAACACCAACAGCCAGGGGCTGTTTGTCTGTGATCAGATCTTAGATGTCTGCAGTGGCACAAAAAGAAATACTGATGAACAAAAACCTTCTCTAAGGTGTTGGGCATCTTAACACAAACATAAATAAATCTAAAAAATAAGATACTTATAGTACCCCAGTGCTACCAGTCACATGGTTTAAATGTAAAATATCTCCCTTTGAAATCTAGTTAGCTCTTGGTTCCTGCAGAATTATAAGTGGGGGTTCTAGGAAAAGAATGAAAAAAGACCATCAAAACACGCCTGTTCCTTAAAACAATCTCTTCCAAGAGTGATGTCCTAAACAAAATGAAGAATCAAACTTTCAAGTCATATTCAGGAGGTTATTTTAACCAAATAAAATGCTAGGGATCTACGATTTGATGCATTAACCATGACTTTTCCTCTATTTTTTCATTTAAAAAATGTTGAGTAGCTATATTTGGCATTGGAAGTCATTATGCACCATTAAAGTTCAATGTTTTTTTACCATTAAGTAGTTGTTGAATTAAACCTAATATTAAATTAATGAATTTTAACAATAAACTGTGCAATGTTCTGACAGATGAAGGGTTTAGATAAGCATCTCTAATCCTGCAGATTATTCTGCAACTGTTGAATAAAAAAAAAAACAGTAAAGCTTACAAAAAAAAATCAACAAGACAAACCTGAGTGCTGTTACTGACAACAATGTTGCTCTCACACATGTTGCACCTCCTTACCTGCTGAGGAGGTCCACTGATGAGATGTTTTCACTTTGACAACCTCACAATGTGTTCCAGTATAACTAATCTATTGCTCTGTCTATACTAAAATGGACCTAAATCTAATTTTTATTTTATCAAATGTCACACGGCTCTTTGTTTTCTGAAAGTCGTGACAGTTTTTATGAGGTTTTGCTCTTTAACAGTGGCTCCATCAATATATCCAGCAGGACTAAAACAACTAATTTCTATCCAGGTCACAATAAAAAGCCTTAAATAAAAAGGTCACAATAGTTTAAGACACATTCAGCTCCTCCTGGTCATTGCCTACAGACAGACAAATGTTCCCAGCACTAGATTTCATGATGAATATTTCAAAAGCTACCTGGTGCATTTAGGCCAAAGGGCTGTGACTCAAATTTTCTAAGGTCCATATTTGTGTGATCCTTTTTTTTTTATATATATAATATTCTTGCTGCTGTAAACATCAGAACTTCCCCATTGTGGGACAATGAAAGGATCTTTTAACCATTTGAATAGAATTTATGATTCTGCAAAACATTTTGCACAAAATTAAAACCACCTCCGCGGGTTTAACTCATTGAAACGTTCTTTGATTTTTATCTGAACGTTTCTGTGTTTTGAGCGACTTGAATGGACCTAGAAGTTAAAGCACGACAGTTAAACGCCAGACAGTTTGCAGAAACATCTGGACCAGGTGCTCTGACCGACCTTCCACCAAACCAGCCCTGATCTGTCCGCAGAATGCTGGAATAATCCACCGCTGGAGCGGAGCTAAAAGCAAAACAATTCCGCTCAGCGGTGTCTTGCTCTGACCCGAGCCAGAAACTAGCAGAGAACAAGCTAACGCTGTTAGCCTGTCCTTGTCATTTGGAACAGCTAACTGAGCCGGAACCGACCCAGATCAACTCAGTTCTCCGGTTTACCTTCTGTACGACACTCCCCGTTCTAACAGCTGCTGCTCCTGCTGGGAAGAGGAACCGGACCACCGGCAGGGCCATCTTAGCTGTCCTCCAAACGGTGACCCGAAAACTACCGCTACCGGGCGACTAAAAATGACGTTACGCTCCTTTGGGCCTTGATGTTGATGCGTCGCAAGCGTTGATATTTTAGGTGTCTAATGATCGCCTGAAGTTAGTGGCATATTCTTAACCAATCAACCAACATATTTTTATATCACTCTTATTCAGGATTTCTATGTGTAAACCTCAGAAAACATAAACATAAAACAATAAAATATCTGTTTATAAAATATTTTTATTTTCTATAAAATATCTCATAATAAATTTAATGAAACAGAATGATATTTAATTTATATGCAAAACTTACAGACAGACAGACGGATGGATATACACGTATTCTAAAAAGAACACTATAAAAAGGAAACACAGATGCATTTTTGTCATGTACCCGTTGTGTATTTGGTCTTACTATGAGTCCCCCTCTCAGTCAAAAGTATTGATTATTGTCCAAAAGCGTATTGTACAATAACTGATTATAAAATAAAAACTATTTTAGTTAATCTTTTAACTTAAGCATTTAATTCTTAGGCATTTTATTCTTTCCATCACACACACACACAAAAAATCATAAATATGTTGCCTGGAAATTAGAAAGGAATCGAAATAAATACAAAATTAAAAACATTTTAAACTTCTATTTATAAAACTGGAGCTCATCTGAGTAACTCCCTTATAACCACATTTAAACTGGATGAATCTGAAAAAGAAAAAAAAAACAAAGAACAAAAACTGTTCTCGGCCTGACTTAATAAGTTTTACTTTGTTTTCATCCAGGCACCTGAGCTGCTTTGATGAGCTCTCATAGCTCAGTGTGGAAAAACAGCTGATCCCAGGCTGTTCTCTACATCCATTCTGTGCCTCTGCTTGCTTTGGATGTGTGTCACAGCAGAAGGTGAACTCAAACATATATAAGAAAAAAAAATACTTTTTGGTTGATAAAAGCTTGTTTAATTTTTTCAGAAAGTAAAACAGACCCCAGTCCTATTTTATTTTACTACCTAAGAAATAAAATATTTTGTTGTACCCCTTGCAATACATTCAGGGACCACTAGGGGTAGACATACCCCTGCTTGGGAATCACGGTAGTCCTTCCCTCAGCAAAAAGTAGTTTATTCAAGTATACTAAAAGTGCATTAACTTCATACTTAAAATCAGGCAGTGCACTTAGAGTTTACTTATTCTAAACTATATTACATATACTTAACAATAGTATAATCAAGTGTACTTGACTATATTATTGTTTACTTTATTGTACTAAAGTATACTTTAATTATACTTTAGTAGACTTAAAAATGTCCCAATTCAGTTCGAAGAAGTATTACTTTAGTAATACTTCAAGTACACTAAAAGCACATTGTTCGGTATACTTTCTAAACTTATACTTATACTTAAGTATTCTTAATAGAATTTACTTCAAGTATACTACTTTTTGCTAAGGGTTCCAGTGTTTCTAAAGTACAGAAAGATTACACACCATTATAGTTAGTGCTAGTTAGTAACATAATGCTATCCGATGCATTCAACCGACAAATAAACTTGTACATATAAGACAAAGCATAATGATATTGTCTCAATATTTTACAACCGTGTTTGTTTGTTTTTTGAGAGCAGTGCAGTGGAAAGATGAGTTCAAATGACTATTAACACATCATTATCTTCACTTTTACTGATCAATAAATGAATCAAACAATATTTTGACAATTAGCTGTACCTTCATTACATCCTATTTTTTCATCTAAAATCATCTTTTTTGCTCCGTCCTCACATTTATTGACTGTACAGTTTCAGATTTTGAATCAGTATTGGTCTTGGCTTTTCTGTTGTTGTATCACACATATGAGGGGCTCTGTTTCTGTGGGGTGTGAAAGTGGCTCCATCTCAGTAACACAAATGTCCCAAATATTAGACGTGGATGAAAGTAAGGCTCTCGAATGCGACAACTTTTTCTTGTTCCATTTTCTTGATGTCGGGTTTTTATTTGAAGTAGGCCAGACAACAGCAAATTAAAAAAGGTCCTTCTGTTTTAACTGTGCTTTGCTTCTTGCTTAGGGGTATACACTCACCGGCCACTTTATTAGGTACACCTGTCCAACTGCTCTTTAACACTTAATTTCTAAGCAGCCAATCACATGGCGGCAACTCAGTGCATTTAGGCATGTAGACATGGTCAAGACAATCTCCTGCAGTTCAAACAGAGC